ATTGATGTAATATAAATGAGTGCTGAATCTTGCCCTGCCTGCCCCCCAGTATGCTTATTAACAAAACAAGGAAGAACCAATGGAAAAATCAAGAACTGGTATCTTAGGAAATGTATGGGCTAGTCTTCATATATTAACAGGGTCTGATTTCCTCCATAAATTCAGGGGAGTTATCTCTACAAGCCCCTTGTCCCTAAATACTCAGGCCATATCAGCCCCTTGTAAGGATATATCCACTATTCTTGACAGCTGTAATTGGCCCTGTACTAGGGTTTTGCCATAGATGAGTTATTCCTCACAACAATTCTCAAGGAACCACTAAAGTCCGCTTATAAGCCACGTTGCTGAGACTCATACTTGGGATCTATTTGATCCCCAAAGACCTATATTACAGAGCTCTTCAAAATACCTCAATGAAGAGGGGGAAAAAATGCATTGGTTATCTGCAGCAATGCCCGTCTTGAAAGTATAGGAGAGGGGCATCTGGGTGGCTCAGTCGTTAAGCGTCTGCCTTTGGCTCAGGTCATGATTCCAGGGTCCTGGGATCGAGCCCCGCATCGGGCTCCCTGCTCTGCGGGAAGCCTGCTTCTCCCACTCCCCCTGCTTGTGTTCCCCCTCTCGCTGTGTCTCTCTCTGTCAAATAAATAAATAAAATCTTAAAAAAAAAAAAAAAAGAAAGTATAAGAGATAAGCAAAACTTTGTTTACATCTTAATTACTATTATCATGATTTGCCTGTGTCAGAGATATAACGTGTCCTGATGTGTGGCTAGCATGGTTCCTCAGTTTTGTTTTTCTGGAATTTCTGTAGCAAATTTCAGATCATGGCCTAATATACATGGTATGTGCCTCAGGCATGAAGTTAGGCCCTGTAGAAATGTATAGAGACTCTTTATGAGACATTATTTCCTTCACTCTTGATAGAGCAGAGAGAAATTTGTAACCAAAACCATAGTCAGAGAACTAAAAAAACAGTAACTGTTTATAAACCAGTCCATGAATATTCATTCTAATCACTATATAGTAATCAATTAGTATACACAGCAAGAACAATATGAAATCTGAGGCTACAGATTGCAGAACTGAATAAATCATCATTTTTAAGAGATATAACTAAAGATAATATATTTTCCTTTCTGGATGAAAATTCATTTCATGTTCCCTGGTGGAATAAATATAAAGAAGAAATACACAAAAGGCAAAAATTGGACCTAAATGTCCATTCCTACATATACAGGTCAAGAAAAGCATTACTCACATAATTGGATATTCATTGCCTTGTTTGCTTAAGACTGAAAAACAAAAACGTGAGTTTGCCAAATTTCCTAATGTTTTGTACAGTGCAGTGGGCCTTTAAAAAATACACAGTAATGCATTAATCTAATACTACTACAAAGGTTTAATGATTTTTCTGGTTATTTCCTAAGTTTACCTTTCATAATATCAAGTGGTATATATAATGTGTTTTGGTAGTTTGAATCACAAGTGTGAGGTTTCAACTAACTGTGGCTAAAAGCAAAATGCCAATCAGGATGAAAAGCTTCTAAAAACAAACTAAACTGAAACTATTAAAAATGTAAAAGAGAGTAACCATAGTGATGCTAATTTAAAATGATCACTGATGAAACATTTCTTATAATCAATGTCAGACATCTGTATCTTTTTCAGAACTGTTTTAAGTTATTCATTACTTCATCCTTTAAAGTTTCTGACATCTTTAATGAGAGAACACATAAAAATAATGGTGGTAGCGTGAACAAAACTTAGATGCGATGCTCAACAAACTGCACATGTGTGTATACACACGTGCGTGCGTGTGCATGCAGGCGCACAGGCAGATCCTACTCTAGACCTAAAATGGCTGAGTTGCGGGATGTTGTTGCTTGGTGACCAAACAGTATCTACTCAGCCACAGAGTCATTTAAGCAGTGAGAGATATGTCCCCTCAGCTTTAGGCATGGCCAGGACAAATATTAAGGGGCATGTTTATCTTTTCTAGTATTCTACATTTTCATTTTAAGTTCAGTTGTCACTTTCTTGATTTTGTCATCAATTAAATTCAGATTTTAGGGGAAAGAGTATTTGGAACCCTACTGCTGTCGTTTTAAGAAAATAAGAGGGAGAACCAAGCTTCTTTCAAACTGGAAGATAGTCTGTTTCAATTAAGTCTATGTGGTGTGTCTACTCTGTTCTGCTACGACCTCCCAGTTGCTATCAGTCTCTCTTTCTTTCATTAAACACCAGCAGTTAATTAGCCCCAGCCTGTCCTCTTGCCTTCTCTCTGTCCCTTTTCAAGGTAGTAATGATGTCTAATTACCAGCAGCAGTGGGTCACTGCAACGTCAGGCGCAAATCTCTCTCACTGACAGCAGAGCCAGCCGCAAACCCTCAAACCTCAGACAGCTAGAATGATTCTCAGTCTACTTGAAAATACCAAATACAGTACTTTATTTCAACCAAGATACGCCTTTGACATAAAAATATGTTTCTTGTCTTTCTGGTGGATTGTACTCCCGCTATTATAAAGAAAAGCTTATTTTTAAGGAAGAGATCATTTGAGATGCGGAGAAACACATGATAAAAGGGGAACCTTTTATTTATTTTTTAACTTGTTGAAATGATGATTGGCTGTCTTTCAGGGAAGGCGGAGCCTATAATTCTATGTAAGGAGCAGCATAAAATTTTCATAAAGAGCAACAGAAGAGTTCATGAATTAAAAACCTCTTCAACATTTCAAAACAGGCTTGAATGAAGAGCAAATCTCTTAAATACTACATGGAAACCACTATCTAAGAACACCACCTGATGAATTACATATTCTCCCATAAATATATGGAATCTTTACTGAAAAGGGAAACATGTGTTACTTTATTGTTAACGCTGGAGTTGTTATTCTACAATGGATGTCTTAGCAATAGTTCTTTAACAAGCCTGCATAAATTTTTGAATGAAAATATGGGTATCTGAACATGTGAATTCTGGTCTGAATTACTAGGCATCCATATTTCTCTTAGTGTCTCTATAGCTGTTACACAATTTATGTTATTTAGAATTTTTAATTAATGTTTTAAAAGGGCACATCTGTTTATACACATAGTGGATGTAACCAAACCCCTGCAAGTATAAACTGGACCAATATATACAAGTGAAGCTATCTGACAGATAAACAGAGGAACCTGATTTTAATATAAAAGGAATGAAAAACAAACTTCCCAGCTAGCAATTGTTTTGAAAAACATATAAAATATTATTTAATAATAATTAGGTAAATATACCTTAAATGATTATTTTATTTATTCAGTTAACCCAGTGGTGCCCAAAGGAAAATACATCCTTATGTTCTGAATTCTAATCTACTTTGTCTAACAAGTTATTTTTAAAAAATCAGGTTAAGTTACTTCCAATACAAATGAATCAAAGCACTTCATTCTCCACAACAGACTTCTGGCTCATCCAGATGTAAATAAACCTCAGTTCTAATCCATAGGCATCTAGTCCTCATTATTTAGTAAAGAAAGACAGTAATCTCACCATTGTCTTTAGCGATGCCACATTAAAAGGGAAGGCTGTGTTTATAGATCTACCTCCTAGAAAATTCCAATAGTACTTAAAAAAAAAAAAAAGCAGAACTTTTATGTGTGTTTCTATTTCACCTTTATTTCCTTTTCCCATTTTCCAGATAAATTCCAAAAGAAATATACTTCCTTCAAACAACTATCCCTAATTAATCTCGGGAAACCATTAACTATTTTCCAAACCTGAAAGAGTCCTCCAAATAGTCCTCTGAAAAACCTTTCATGCACATATTTCCAATTTAATATACCTCCGTTTGAGACAGAAGAATAGCTTGCAAGACATCTCCTTTCTAGCATCCTCCAGGAATACTGCTCGGGGAAACAGTTGCCAGTATGGGGTGGGGGTGGGGGGTTAGGAAAAGGAGCAAATGCTCAAGAAACCTCAAAGCCAGGCAAAAATGCAAAGGATGCCAAATACCCTCCCCCACCCCTACTCCAGGCGAGTACCCACCGTAGCATGACGAAGAAAGAGGTCTTATGGATCTGATCTGCAATCCTACTTGTAGCCCACAGTTCCCATCTTCTTAAAAAGGAAATTGATGCTGCTGCCGCTCCCCAACCTCACAGGCTTCTGCCCTGAGAGGCTGAGATACACTGGGTTCTCAGTGCCCAGTACCTTGCTGCGCCTGGGCTGGGAGCTTTGTGGCCATGAGACTAGAGCTATCCCAGAACGAGGAACAAATACATACACCATTTGATTGCGCTGAAACCCATGTCTCTTTGTTGTTCATCATGTAGCTGCGGCTTTATTTGTGAAAGGGGGAAGTGAGGAAGGGAATGGGGGGCGGGGAGGAGGAATCCCCAGGACCTTATCTACAATCTAAATAGTCGTGGCAAGATCTCTGGGAGTGATCAAGGCGATGGGATAGCCCGGTGTCTCCCAGGCGGCGGTCTAACAATAAAACCTGATAGTGTCCGGGGGGTGGGAGGGGGGGAACCCCACATCTCCGACTAGCGCCACAATCGGGCTTTGTGCCAATTAGGAGACACTGTAGACGATCGATCAGAATCGTCTATTATCAGAGCGTGCGTCTGGGGTTCCTGCGTGGCCCTTATGCTCGGTGGCGAAAGCGGGACACACGCCAGGCGCCCAGCGAAGGACATGGGACAATGGCCCAACCCGAGGACGCGGGAGGCCGCCCGACGCGGGGATGGAAGCTCCAGGAGCGGGTTCAGGAGCCCGGAGGCGAGGAGGGCGGCGAGCTCTGGAGGTGCGCTGCCGCTTTAAAATAAAGGACCACAAAGACTCCACCGTGGGGGAAACGCGCCTGGCTAATGCGAGTGGGGACGACTTGGGGAGGGGGTTGAGAAAGGTGGGGGGCACACGAGCCAACGGTGGCTCACGGCTCCCCCTTTCTCCCCCCTCTCTCTCCCCTCCCCGCTGGCTGCTCCCGCAGACAAATAACAGAGGAAGGCGAGTCACTCACCGTGGTCTTGACCGGCACGTAAAGCACTTGCTTGGCGCAGCCGCCGCCCCCGCGGACCTCGTCCGGCTGGCCCAGCTGGAAGCCCTTCGATTTGACCCAGAATTTAAATTTGGCGTTGTCCGTGGAGCTCGACTCGGAGCCGTTGAGGAGCTGGACGATCCGCTCGTATTTTTTACGGGTCACCGTCTTGGTCTTGCCTGAGTCCCCGTAAGTCCTGAGGCACCAGTCCTGGAACTGGCGGTACATGTCGCGCTCGCTCTCCATGTTCCCCGCTCCTGGCCGTCGGCCGGATGCTCCCAGCGCACTTCGCACCTGTTCACCCCGGGCTCATGAAAAATGCAGCCCGGGCCACGATGTAGGGACGCGAGGTCCCGGCCGCCGCCGGAGCCTGCCTCGGGTGGTGGTGGGGGGTGGGGGGAGGAATGGGGAGAGGGGAGGAGGGTCCGGCTGGGCACCAGCAATCAATGCCCTGTGCTACCAAGTCTCTGGTTCATTCGTAATTGCAACGGATGTCTCGGACGCTTGTCTCGGACGCTTTTCTCGTCCTCTTAGTGAGGGGTCTCTTTAATATTGTGTGACTAGGACCATCCCAGCAGCATCCGGCCCAGAGGAACTGGGTTTTAAATAATTAAAATCCCATTCCTTGGTTTATTAAAAATCCCAATATTGACTTGGGGTGGTCCCTGGAGCCTCGCCCCGGGGCTGTGTCCGGGGCAGGGCAGGTGCAGCGCTGCGCCGCCTCCCCGCGCGCGCCCCAGAAGCTTCCCCAGCCGCTGGCCCCACCGTCCAGGAAGCGAGGGCTGAGCTGCTCTCGAAAGCAGCGCCGGGCCGAGCGCCTGCGAGCCCCGAGGGGCACCCAGGTCCCCTGGCTCTCCTTCCTCCAGGGTCCCGTTCCGCTTCAGCCTTCCCGGCGTGGGGCGTTCGGGGACTAGAAAGAGAGAAAGTTCTTACCTGTCATGTTGTTAAGCCTATCAAATCCTGCTACACAGGAAATTTTTAAGGTATTTTTAAAATGGTTTAAAATGTCATTTCTTCATATGCAGTTAGGCTAAATTCCAGCCCTGCAGGTAGATTCCAGGAGTTAGGTCCCAGAATTAGCAACATTCATGGATATTTGGCCATAGTTCTATAGGAAAGACTGTGGTACCCCAAACAGATATCCGTTCCAGGGGGATGTGGGTAAACGAAGGCAGGCCGCTGGCGGCGGGTCTCCCGGATAATGATGGGGTCCCCAGACAGGACTCCTCTGGTTTCTGCTGAACTGGGTACAAGGCATAGAAGTAAGTTTATAATACAGATGCTTAAAACCCTTTGCATGAAATTAAAATAGAGATTATTTTCCCCTTGCTTGGTTACAGTTTGCAGTACACATAGGAGGTTTCGTATGTCTATTTTCCCCCTGCCACGTCATGGACACCCCTCCACTGCTCAGAGTAGCCAAATATGAGTTCCTCTGGACGATTTTCTCAAGCAAATGAAATCAGCGGCTCCTCCATTCAGGATTTCCACCCGTTACAGAGCTGGAAATAGGGGAGTTCCCATCCTCCTCGCGCTGCGATTGCGGCCGCTCCTCTTTATTCTACTCTCTGCGGAGGCCCGCGCCCGTCCCGGGAGGCGGCTCTGCCAGGAAGGCGGCCCGACCAGTGCCCCGCGCCTGGTCCGCGTCCTAGCCCACCTTCGCCCCTCGTCGTCGTCTCCAAGACGAAAGCCCCGAATGGGAACGCGGAGTGTTTGTACCCACTGCGCCGCAGCTGGTCCGGCACTTGCAAAATGGTCAGTGGCTCCCGCTCGGCCAGGCTGAGTGTGTGCGTGTGTGTGAGCAAGGGAGCGAGGGTGTGCGGTGTGCGGGGGGTGCGCTGTGTGTGCGCGCGTCTCCGGGAAGGTCTCGCGGCGGCTGGAGCCGGGACTGACAGCCCGGGCGGAGCGCGAGCAGCTCCACACACTAAACCTCTCGCCTCTCCCCTCACCCCCACCCCTCCCACTCCCCTCTCCTCCCACCCCCCCTCCCCGGCCCCTTCCAAGCTCTCTGATTGGCCAATGGGACAAAAGTTTCTGTGGAGACGGCTGGGCGCTGACGTCACGGGCAGAATTGTCCCATTTAGGGATCCCGGGGGCAGTGCGCATGCTGCAGGCTTCAGGTTAGAGGCAGGAGGAGGTAGCAGCGGGCGCGGCGGCAGCCAGGTGGCGGAAAGGAGCACTCAGCATCCAGGTGGGGGGACGACTCCAGCAGGGTTTCCATGGAGATTCCTCTGGGTCTAGCCTAAAAACAGCAGATCAGCTGACACCATTAGCTCAGGACCTAATTACTGCTTATTGGAGCAACAAATGAGGGAGAGGGCCAGCTGCAAAGGAAGAGTTTTTATCCTCCCCCCCCACACACCCTCCCACCCGGTCTCCTCCTTTCTCCCTTCTCGGTCGCTCTTGAGTCCCGGGTGAATTCTCATTAACTTGCAAGATTCCTGCAACAACAGCTACCCTTCTCTAGAGGCCACCCGGACTGCTTTTATTCTTTTTATTTCTTTATTTTGTATTAAAAAAATGCTAAAATAAATCAGTTGTCCTGAGTCCTTGAATTTTTGCCCAGTAAATATTAGACCAGTAGAGCTCAGAGAGTCCACTGTCTAATAGAAGTCACAAGTGGATCTAATATAAGGGTGGGGGGAGGCAGGGAGGAAAAAAACACCTTAAATGTGTTAAATTAGGTATTTATCTTTAGGCCTTTCACATTTAAAAAAATTTTTCAATATCTTAAACAGATATGTGGAATAAGGAATTGGAAATTTTGAATCACCCTTGTGTGGTATACCTCACAGGAACACTATTACAAGTTTACCTTGTGTCATCAGAGATAGAGGATAATTCCAAGTTGGGAGATCAAGGTTGTGTTGTGTGTTAGTTAAATGTTTCCTAGAGGATTCTGGAAGTATAGTTGATCCTAGAGTGGTCAATTCATTCAAGAGTAAGCTGGTTCTATAGAGTTCACTTTCTCTTATGGTTATAACAATTCACAATTTCTGGATTCTTTTTGGTAACTCTTTCATCTGAAGAGTCATCTCATCTCCTCTAAGTCTCATTCAAGTACTTTCAGACCCGTAAAGCTTTCTTTCCTTGACTACTCAAGTTAAAACAGTCTGTGTCTCTAAACTCCTCTGGGTAAGTGTCTTTCAACCATTTTTTTCACCTTGTCTCATAGTAAGACATATACATTACATTGACACACAGTGCATTCATACATCTATCCTCCAAAAATATTATGAGAAAACATATTTTATTATATGGAATACACACTGATAGTTACCTGATCTTCTCCTATTATTATCATTACTATTTGGTAAAGTGTAGTCCTAACCCAATAAATTTATGAAGCAGCAAAGGATGCCTGGCAACCTATAGTCTGGAAAATACTGTTTTAGATTATATGAACTACACCACTCCTTGTACTATATTTATAGTTTCACATGAGTACGTTTGACTGTTCAAATAGAATTTTGATTGGAAGACCCTTGAGAGTTTATATTTTCTTGTTTTCTAAGTAACTTCACCACAATGAACAATGCCCACAGTAAGTGCTTCATAAATAGATACCAAGTTATTAATAAAGAGAAGAGAAAGAGAGGAAAGGAAGAAATAAGCAGGAGGCACAATCCTTAGCAATTCCTGTTGGCTTTTGCTGGTTGATATTTGGATGAAGTTGGTTCCCACTTAAAGACAGACGAAGGCCTTACCATGTACTGTGTTCGTTATATTTATGATTATACTTGGCATTCTAATGTATGGAAATTAAAACACTTTAGACATAACTCATAGGATGAGAGCAGATATGTCACCAACCCCCAGCTATATTAACCGGATTTGGTATACAAGCAAAAACACAAAAAACAAAACAAAACAAACAAACAAACAAAAAAACCCACACACAAATTAAGCAATTATAAAGATTTTTTTTTAAAAGGAAAAGGTAAATAATTCACTATTGAAAGAATATTCTCACTGGACTAAAAAAATAAAGTCCCAGGACTGTAAGGGTCAAGCTTCTCAGAGCCATGAAGATTCTCTTGCCTCCAATGGAACCTAAAGTGTGTTCTGTTCTCTATTTATTCTCTTTATTAATTATGCAATCTAAATCAACATTTTTTTTACCCTATCTTTCCTACTTAAAAGCATAAGCACCTGACAAAAATCTAAAATCTGCTTCAGCAACTCACCCTAGACTCATTTCTCTCCTTTTTATTTTTCTAGAGCCAGGTCTTCCCAGCTCCACCTGGAGGGTCATATTGACCCTTTCCTTCAGCTATATGATTAACTTGACAGGCTGCGTGGAATTTAATTTGGCATTTCCCCCAAGACACTTTTTCAGATTTACCTCTCTAAGAGCATATCTCCCCAAAAAGTGACTCTTCACCCCCAGATGTGAGCACCAACTCCTAACCCCTGCCCAGGGTCCTGCCTGCTATTTATGGGGAGAAGAAATCAGAAAGTATTGTATCAGAAAATAATATTTTAATTAAAGATAATGTAAATTTTCAGCTATAATCAACATGATTTTGTTATGAAAGTAAAACCTCTTCCAACCTCAGGGTCAGTTTGGGTATGACAATTTGAAAAATCTGGAAACTCATATTTTAATATCAATCACAAATATTATTCAACACCACATATTCATCAGCAAAATGTTATAGTCCAAAAAACATATAATCTGTAATCATAAAATAAATGTTCAAAGAATAAAAAAGGCTTCATCATGTAATTATGCTTTTATTCAACAAATATTTACTGAGTGCCAATTACTTGGATAGGCTTTAAGGTTCAAGTAGTCAACAAGACATGTATATATACATTGTACTCATCTAATGGAGCTTAAATTTTTCTCAGGAAAACACAATAAACAAGGAAGAAAATAGCACTTGAAGTGAAAGCTAAGAGGGGAAAAATGGTGCCGTAATAGAAAACAGTGGCAGAGTCGGGGGACTTCGTAATTCAGGGAAGATCTCTGAGTACGTGACATTTATCATGAGACCTCAAGAATACAAAGGGATCAACCATCTGAAGAGCCAGGAAGGGAAACTACAGGCACAGCACAAAAGTCCTACGGCAAGAGTTATTGGCACGTTTGAGGAATAGAAAGAAGCCAGTCCAAGTGGAGCTTACTGAGCGTGGAAGGGAGAGTACGGGAATGGAGGTCTGATAGTCTTCTGTGGCCAGATCTTGTAGGACAGTGCTTGCCATGATAAAGAGTTTGCATTCTATTATTGATCCAGCAGAAAGTTAATAAAGGATTTAAAGCAGGAGAATTATGTGATATGATATGCGTTTTTATGTTTCACTGGCCATTCTGAAGAGAAAGGACTGGAAGGGAACAAGCATGGAAGGAAGAAGACCAGTTAGGAAACTTGCAGTAGTTGTAGTAGCTTAGGTGAGATACCGTCATGATAGATTAGGAAAATAACGGTTGAGGTAGAGAGAATTGTTGGATGGCAGATAAGTTTTAAAGATAGAAGAGGGCTCGCTGATGTATTGCATGTGGCAGGTGAGGGAAAAGATTGAGTCAAGGATGACCATATGGCTTCTGGCTTTTGTAGTACGGTTTGTGAGGCCATTGACTTAGAGAAGGATGTTTGAGGAGGAACAGATTGGAGTTGGAGGCTGAGGTAGGAGCAGAAGTAGGTTGATGTGGAGAGGCAGGAAGAATTTAATTTCAGAGAAGTTAAATTTGAAATACCAGGAGAGTTGTTCATGTAGGCATTTGAATATAGAAGCTTGAACTACAGAGAAAAGTCTGGGCTGAAGATATAAATACAGGAATTTTAAAGCCATAAGAATGAATGACATCACCTCTACCCACATTCCTCCATCCCCCAAAAGGAAAAACCTTCATCTTTAGATATTGATTTTATATAAACTAATACCCCATGACTAAAATAGAATGTCAGACACTGAACAGCCAAAGTTGGCTTCTTTTGGTATAACACATAATGGGAAAGCCTGAGAAACACAGCAAAGCCATTTGGCTCAATCCTTGACTATACCTAAATCATTAGTGAGTTCCAAATTTGATGGGGCTTTAAAATCCTCTAAAATTTAAAAAGAAAAGATAGAAAACATTGGGTTAGATCTCTTCTAGATTAGATCAGGACCTGGAGGTGTGCTAAAATAGGAATCTAAAATTTGAGGATGGCCTATGAACACATCTGTCATCAAAGGGATGGAATAGGCATTTGGGCTACTGAGTTGAGTCAGTAAGACAATGTGAGCCCTTTAGCTGTACTAGACATTGTGATAGATGGTACTTGTCACTTTGAAACCTGGAAGTTCTGAACATCATTATGCATTCAGATGCTTAACAGTCTATTAATAACTCTTCCAAGAAACAGAAATTTGTGAAGGAAGCAAATGGCCAACTCAATCAGCATCTTGATTAACATATAACATGTTAACTTTTCAAAATAAAACAGAGAAACAAAGTTACAGCAGAAATGTACAGCTCGTGTGGATAGAGCAATTGGGGACTACATACAAAAAGTGTCACAAATCTGATTTTATAGTTGACCTCCATCTATTGACTCTTCTCCCAAATAATTTTGAAAAGAGCCTGTTTTTAATATGTTGTAGCTATCCTTTGATTCAGAAAAAAAATGCTTTTGAGAGAGTTAAAATAGTGTCCTGATCTTCATGCTGTCATTACTAAGACACCAAAAAACATTTCTTTCTTTCTGTTTGTGAGCTATAATATCAGTATCTGTAGTCCATTTTCTAACTTAAAGAAAAAAAGATTAGAAATTTAATGTTTGTTGTTCAGCCCCAAGTTGACTGATATTTAGGTCTCGTGTGATCATCATTAAATAGGATGCATCGGGCAGAAGTTAATTTCTATAAATATTTAAGTGTGCAAACTAAGAACAAATTAGATTCAACAACCTAATCGATTTGCTGAATTTCTCTTTAATTCC